GGGGGGAAGTGCTGCACAACAGAGTATTGGATTTTAAATGTCACTCCAGAGCTGCAGGGGGTTAGTGCAAGGTTTATGACATGCTGGCTATTTCTGAGCTGGTGGATGCTCAAAGTCAGAATTATCTCACCCATCTTTCAGCCCTGCAAGGCAAGTACCAACAATGTTTTGGAAGGAGATGCTAAGGACCCTCTGGTTATGTACTTTGAAGAGAGACATAGCAGCCATTGATGGGGAGTTAGTTGTTTTGTTGTTGTGCTCCTGTTAGCTATTCCTCTCTGATAAAAGAACTGACACAATTTGCTGGGCCAGAGCTTTGATCAGTGAAGCCACTGGAGTAGCTCAAATACGCTTAGGTCTATCACATGGAGGTATGTGACCCAGAGAAACTAGGGATTAGAAAACATGGAGATGAGAAAGCTGTGGTGATCAATGCCTTGCCTAGGCTACTTTAAAATAACAAAAGATCTGGAGTTTACTCCATATGCTCTGGAAGACCATTTTACAGTTCAATCAGTCTTATTATCTGAAAGTGTTTTCTGTGCTTCCATTTACCTTTGTTTAATTCTGTCATTTGCTACATGAAATTTCCAAAAGTTTCTATTTTGTTCCACACACTTCATCAATAAATACAGAGACAACCAGTAGGAAGAAGGGCAGGATTGTGTCTGAGCATGTATCTGTAGCTGGAAGGGTTGGAGTGAACAGAACTTTATGTGAAACATCAGTGTTGGATGCATGGATAGGCTTAGGAAAAAATGGATCATGTGGTCAGGTATCATACATGAATGAATTTATGCAAATATATGCCTACAATATGCTGGGTGTGACAGAAAGGAAGGGAATCCTGCTCTAAAGCATTTGAGAGCCACTTGCTATCACAGCATGATCCTGTAACTGCAGACTGAAATAAAAATGCTCATGTTTTGTTGCTGTCATAACACAGAGGAAGAATATGAAATAGCCTGCAATGGTTAAATTCCACTTTCAACACTTGACTGTAAAGTGACTCATCTGGAGGCACAACAGCTGCATAAAGCCCTCTTTTAACAAGCAGGTCCCTGCACAGTCCTCACTGCAGCTTCTGGCTTTAGAAACCTGGGAGGGACATGGAGATTTTCATTTCTTCTTAATGCTCATTCAGACAGATTTGCCAAAATTGTGTGGATGAAAGGGAGGGCTCCTTGATTTTATTTCCAGCTCATCTGCCTGTGTGGGCAAGGGTCAGTGTTCATCTTGAGCTGTCACTCAAGTTACTTGGCTATTCAATAAGTTGAATAATAATAATGAACTAATGCTAAAATAATAATATAATAACACTACCAATAATAATAATTTCTAAGGTGGTTCTGTGAGGGTTATTAGCTACTGCACATCACAATTCAGAGACAATCTTCTGTCAGTCTCTGAATGAGCCTTCCCAGTTTGCCTTCTCCTGTACACCTTTGCCTGGGGAGACTGTGCAACATCAGAGAGGAAGAAAAATTCTGAGGCTTGCTCCCATTACATAAATAATATCTATTAGCATTTTAGTTTTTAATCCAAGAAACAAGAAACAAAAAAGGAATCTGATCTCCAAAACGTAACTAAGTTACAGCAGCATAATAGTTTTCAAGCATCAACTCAGTCATCATAGCAAAAAGCAGAATTCTTTTGGTCCTCTCTCTATTATTAAGTGATACTTAGTACAAATCTCTCATTGAAGTTGAAGCTGGTACATTTTAACTTGCCTTCAACACAGCTATGAGGCTGAGTACCAAGGATGGACTGACACATGACTATTTTATCAATCCACAGTATCTTATTCATACCTCTGAGTGATACCTTTTGTGATTCAGGAAATGTTACACTGCTTTTTACCTCCTGGTTTAAGATGTGTACAGGACCTCAAGAATCTGTGAGACCTCAACATTTCAGTGAAGTCATAGATAAAGAGGCTAGAAGGGCAGACAGAATCAATTCCATTGCCTACTGTTATTTTATTAGCAAAAATGTTAAGACCACATCCCAGCCTCCCCAAGCACATTGGTGCCTCACTGCTCTCTCAAAGTTTGAACACACAGCAATAGCAAGCAGGAGTTCAGACTAAAGAGGATTCACACTACACAGATGAAAGCAACCCCACAATACAATCAGGCTAGGAGATGAAAGATTATTCTGAGAGGTAAATGACTTTTTCAAGGTCACATACTGATAAGCAGTAGGGCTGGGAGTTAACCCAGGGCTCTCAAATCCCAACCCAGTGTTCTAACCTTTAACACTGCTGCCTCCATCTTTCAGCCGGGTAATTCTGAACAGGAAGACAGGGGAAATGATTGGACTGCAAAAACTTTTTTTCTTGCAAATTTTATCACTGAATTTTGTGAGGCCAGCATCTACCAAAGCGGCTTGGGATGCAGGCCTGCTCTTAAAAGCAGGACACGGTGACTTGGGATTAAACCCGGTCAGGTAAAAAGAAAGTTTAATATCATCTAAAACATCTTTCTGGTGAGACTCTCTGCAATGCAGAACACTTTCCTAGGGAAGTACTAGGACTTCCTGTTTAAGACATTTTAAACCAGTTTGAATAAGTTTCCAGAAAAAAAAATACATGTGGAAACTGATTCTGTATCAAGATATACTTCTTTTTTTTAATTTCTAAGAATCTTTGGTGCAAAGGCCTTGAATTTAGCCTTAGCAATATGTGATAATGTGGACTGTTGTGGGAGAAAGAAACAGTAACACACCATTTCATTGAGCAACCACCAGAAAATATCATGGAAAGAAGCGCCATAGCAATAGGAAACTTAAGATGTGATTATTCAGTTATATTTCAATACTGCATTGGGGTCTGACTTGTTAGTCTTCCAGTGTATCTGGGACAACATGCTGATAGAGATTTTTCAATAAAGATTGCAAGTGTATAGTTTGCTGGTAAAGGCATGAGATACAATATGGAGTTGCATGAATCACCTTGCTATTGTCCCATTCTTGTGTTTTCATTTGTGTGTGGATTAGCTCATAGGATGGCTCCATTGCATCCATGTCTGGCTTGGGGTAGCCGGGGATGACGTTGTGTAGCTGGAACCCAAAGGTGAGCAGCCAGCTGTTGACATCTGGAAGGGAAGAAAAGCATAAATAAGATTATCTGATCTCTGAAGTAGGGTTGCCCAGTAGAAGGCCCAGAGGAGGATCCTATGATGTCTGGCACTGTAGCAGTCTGGCCAAGGTGATGAGTGCCTACTTTGTGTGAAGAGCACAAATTTTATTGGTCCTTTAAAGAGCTGTGTGCCAAAAGCTGGGCTTTCCACTTCCAACCACAGCCCAATTCTCCACTTTCCCAGCTCTGAAACAGAAGCGTTGGCAGTGAGCAACTGGCC